AAAAAAAAAAAAAAAAATATCACAGACTAAAGTTAGGAGAATATAATTTTTATTGCTGGAATCCTTGCAAAGCAGTGAATAATTTGAATATAAACATCATACGGTACTAAAATTGTTATGTCTAGTGCAAATTATAGCTTGTTTATATTCAAATTAATCACTATCTTACAAGAATCTCAGCAATGTAAATTGTATTCTCCCAGGTCATTTCACTGACATTTTAAATTGAGAGAAGCTTAGTCACTTGAGGACTGTTAAATAAACACACATGAGACCTTCGGCTCCAACTGTCAAACATATCACCTCACTTCCTGCTCCCTCCCTCCCTCCCTCCCTCCTCCCTCCCTCCCTCCTCCCTCCCTCCCTCCCTCCCTCCCTCCCTCCTCCCTCCCTCCTCCCTCTCCTCCTCCCTCCCTCCCTCCCTCCCTTTTTCCTTCCTTCCTTCCTTTCCCTCTCCCCAAGCCAGGGTTTTGGACTTACAGTTTTTATCTTATATAATATCTCAGACTAAAGTTAGGAGAATATAATTTGCATAGCTGAAATCCTTGCACGACAGCGAACAATTTGAATATTATCGTCATATATTTTGCACAAGAGATAAAAATTAATCACCTGTATCACATTATAGTAGTGATTTAAGAGTACTACAGGTTCTACCTCTTTAGTCTGGCATTCTGTGGTCCGGAAACTCCCGTGGTCCGGAGCCATTTTAGTTTGCCCTATAGGTAGATAGGCATCTTTTTTTTATTATTTATCTGAATTATTATTACAGGTTGTACCTGTCTAGTCCGGCATTCTGTGGTCCGGAAACTCCCGTGGTCCGGAGCCATTTTAGTTTGCCCTATAGGTAGATAGGCATCTTTTTTTTATTATTTATCTGAATTATTATTACAGGTTGTACCTGTCTAGTCCGGCATTCTGTGGTCCGGAAACTCCTGTGGTCCGGAACGATTTTAGTTTGTCCAGTAGGTAGATAGGCAGCTTTTTTTTTTTTTTTTTTTTTTTTTTTTTTTTTTTTTTTTTTTTTTTTTTTTTTTACTTATCTGAATTATTATTATTATTACAGGAGTATTAAATTTTTGCCCCTCAGGCCCTAATGTGGGTCAGTGACCTATTCCCGGGTGGGCTAATCCCCTTAAAAAAAAAAAAAGCCGCGGGAAATTAAGGTTTGTTTACATCCGGCAGTTCGGCTGCTCTCTCTCTCTCTCTCTGCTTGTCTATACAGAGTACAACATTTAACCCTTCAATATATATGAGCAGTAAATAAGTGTTGCTTTCATATTCTTATGTAGAGTAATGACGATATATTTTCACATGTGCGCACTTACATACGAGCAGTCTCACTTTTTTTTTTTACCATTAATGGTTAGCTACTTATATTGTTCCATTTATTAACATTAAATAACATTACAGGTACTTCAAGCAACCATATTCATTTTTTACATTAATTTTACTACAGCTAAACTCAGGGTCTTATTTTCTTCAGTTTTATATGTAGAACCAATCAGTCACTGGTTTCGTAAGCTTTAACATAAACAATGCCGGCAGCGGTCTCGTCTCCTCTAATATTCCACATATTATTAATAAATTGTATTGTTAATTTTGCACACACGTACATTAATTCAATAAAAACAAATTCAGAAACATTAATTAAAATATATATGAACAGTAAATAAGTGTTGCTTTCATAATCTTATGTAAAGTAATGACGATATGTTTTCACGTGTGCGCATGCGCACTTACATATGCGATCTCTCTTTTTCTTTACCATTATCGTTAGCTACTTCTATTGTTCCATTTATTAACATTAAATAACATTACTTAAAACAACCATATTAATTTTACTACAGTTACAACCAAGGTCTTATTTTCTTCAGTTTTATATGTAGAACCAGTCAGTCACTGGTTTTGTAATCAACGAAAACAATGCTGTCATTTCCTCATGTGTTTTAATTTTCTACGTATTATTAATGAATTGTATTGCTCATTTTGCACATATAAACATTAATTCAATAAAAAAGACATTCAGTAATAAACAATAATGAATCTTTTGTACATAAGAGAAATGACGCTGTTTACACGATCATGCACGTCGTCTGCACATTGGCGGGCCGTTCAAACCCGTCGAAATTCAAGTTTCCGCCGTCAAAATTTTTATTTATTTATTTTTTTGTGTGTTCCAGTAAAATACGTTAAGAATTAAAAACTCGCGAAATTTGAGAAGCTACTATACGACATTTAACCCTTCAATATGTCTTCAAAGAGACCAAGACGCAGAGAAAGTGGTGCTAGTGCTTCCAGGCATAAGCACAAGTCACTATCTATCCAGGAAAAGGGTGAATTTCCATGGTCCGGCAATTTCCATGGTCCGGTACCGGTCAGGTCCCGAGGTTGCCGGCCTAGAGAGGTACAACCTGTATTATTACAGGAGTATTACATTTTTGCCCTTCAGGCTCCAATGTGGGTCAGTGACCTGTGCCCGGGTGGGCTAATCCCCGTAAAAAACAACAACAACAAAGCTGCGGGAAATTAAGGTTTGTTTACATCCGGCAGTTCGGTTGCTCTCTCTCTCTCTCTCTCTCTGTTTGTCTATACAGAGTACAACATTTAACCCTTCAATATATATGAACAGTAAATAAGTGTTGCTTTCATATTCTTATGTAGAGTAATGATGATATGTTTTCACATGTGCGCACTTACATACGCAATCTCACTTTTTTTCTTTAACATTAATGGTTAGCTACTTATATTGTTCCATTTATTAACGTTAAATAACATTACTTCAAACAACCATATTAATTTTTACATTAATTTTACTACAGCTACAACCAGGGTTCTTATTTTCATGTTTTATATGTAGAACCAATCAGTCAATGGTTTTGTAAACATTAACGAAAACAATGCTGGCAGCCGTCTCGTCTCCTCGTGTGTTTTAATATTCCACGAATTATTAATGAATTGTATTGTTCATTTTGCACACACAAACTTTAATTCAATAAAAAAAATCAGAAGCATTAATTTAAACATATATGAACAGTAAATAAGTGTTGCTTTCATATTCTTATGTAGAGTAATGACGATATGTTTTTCACAAGTGCGCACTTACATACGCGCAGTCTCACTTTTTTTCTTTAACATAAATGGTTTGCTACTTTTATTGTTCTATTTATTAACATTAGATAATATTACTTAAAACAACCATATTAATTTTTTACATTAATTTTACTACAGCTACAACCAGGGTCTTATTTTCTTGTTTTATATGTAGAACCACTCAGTCACTGGTTTTGTAATCAACAAAAACAATGCTGTCTCATTTCCTCGTGTGTTTTAATATTCTACGTATTATTAATGAATTGTATTGCTCATTTTGCACACATAAACATTAATTCAATAAAAAAGACATTTAGTAATAAACAATAATGAATCTTTTTGTACATAAGAGAAATGACACTGTTTACACGATTATGCACTCCTAAACGTTGGCGGAACGCTCAAACCCGTCGAAATTCGAGTTTCCCCCGTCAAAATTTTAAGTTATGTAGTGGGTTTTTTTGTGTGTCCAAATAAAAAATGTTGAATTAAAAACTCACGAAATTTGAGAAGCTACTGTATGACATTTAACCCTTCAATATGTATTCAAAGAGACCATGAAGCAGTGAAAGTGGTGCTAACGTAACCGCAAGTCACTATCTGTCCAGGAAAAGGGTGAATTTCCATTGTCCGGAAATTTCCATGGTCTGGCACCGGTCAGGTGCCAAGGTTGCCGGACTAGAGAGGTACAACCTGTAGTGTATATGTGATTTATATAGTGATTTAAGGGCGATTTAGGGGAATTTTAGAAGTGTTTCTGACTTTATGCGTTATTGGCTTTACTTTGTATGTACTTTTCTGTGAGCTTGAACCAATTACCCAATATCCCATTGAAATAATGAATTCACTAAACGAAATTTTCGGTTAACGAATGACTCTGTGGAACAAATTGTGTTCGTTAACCGAGTGACCACTCCTTGTAGTAGTATGTGAATGATAAAAGTCAAGCTTTCACTTTTTTTATTTATTCTTTTTTTTATTCTCAGGTCCTTGACTTTGTAATGTTTTGACTGCTATGAATCCTTTTGAAGAATTAGCACTTTTGAGAAACAAAAGACCAGTTATTATTATTATTATTATAGTAAACCCTCGAAGATTTGGACCTTGTAAATCTGGATTTCGGAAGATTCGGACAAAATATGTGGGGGCTCTGGGCTAGGAAGCCTCCTTAAGAAGCCTTCCCAAAACATGGTGAAGGTAGTTTTAGGCTTAAAGTTATTATCTAATAAAAGGTCATAGACTAAACTTCGCAGAATATAACTTGCATTGCTGAAATCCTTGCAAGATAGCGAATGATTTGAGTATAGTCATCACATAGTTTACACAAGAGATGAAAAATTTAGTCCTTTAGTGTTGTACATTTAAGTAAAAGTTTTTAATTCGTATTTTCTGGTAGATATACGTAGCTTTCTTCATTTATTTTTACTCATTTACATGCACACACACCATCCTAAATACATATTGTGAAAAAAGGTAAAATAAATAATTGTTCTGAGGGTAAAACTGTACTGTACTCAAATGTACTAAATAATTACTAAAGTTTTTCTGTCTAGTACAAGCTATAGTATTTTATACTTAAATTAATCACTATCTTACAAGAATTACAGCAATGTAAGTTATTTTTTGCTATGTCAATTCAGTGACATTTTATATGCAAAAAACTTAAGCTCCCTCTATATGACATAAATAAACACATTTTGTTAATTCACCGGAAGATCCGGACAATCAGCTTGGGTAATTTTTTTTTATTTTATTAAAATGTTTTAAAATTTTTTTGCTGACTCTTCACAAATAAATATTGCACTCACATACACATCAGGAATACATTTTATTGGTACATTATTTTGATTAAAAACAGACATTATTGTTAATTATAAAATATTAAAAGTAATGTTGTTATTCTTCAGGTCTCCACTAATAAACCAAGATTTCATTTTGCCACACTGTCATGGAGAAACTCCAGTTTGGAGTGATAGTAAGTGGTCAGGAGCAGCGAATAATCTTCATACTTGTGATGAAGGAATTTTCACTCTACCAATTAGCTGGATGAAAGAAGTAACAAGCACCTTACAAGGAAAACTTTTCTGCCCAAAGTGCCAGGCTAAGGTTGGAACCTATAATTGGTGTGCAGGTAAGAATTCAGTACTACAGGTTGACAATCCCTTATCCGAAATCCTTGGGGCCACATGCAATTCGGATTTCGTAATTTTTCGGATTTCAGAATGGTTAGGTTAGGTTTGATTTTTTTTTTTTTTTTTTTTTTTTTTTTTTTTTTTTTTTTTGGGGTTAGCCAGGCACATGTCACTGACCCATTGGGTCCTGGGGGCAAAAATGTAAAAATAGTCATAATTATAATAGCAATATAAATTCATGCACACTTTTTTACTTTTGCTCTTCGCCACTGATCGACATTGGCATCAGAAGCGTCAGTCCTGACTCTTTTCGCTTTATATTCTTCACCCAAAATTGGCTAGCTTCTTGCATCCAGGCGGAAATCGATCACGTCTCTATCGCACTGTTGGCAAATACTGGGCATGCACACGGCTCCTGAATGTGCCTGAGTCGCTCGGTATTTGTTCGTCATGCAGAAAGAGCTCACCAGTGCCGTCTAACCTTTCCTGTTAGATTGTTCCAGAGTTTACAACCCTCACTCCGAAAAAGTTTTCCTCCACGGTTTTCGAGACTTGCAGCTTCTTCAATCTTGAGCTGCGCAGGCCCTTGGCCAGGCAGTCCGCCAGCTCCAAGTAAGGACACTCAACTGAGTAGTGCCCCCTGAGATGCGTATAAACCTCAACTAGGTCCCCCCTTGCCCGTCTGTAGTATAAGCTAGGCAAGTTCAGGCGCTCCAATCTCGCAGGGTAGCTGAGATGCCGAAGTGCAGGCACCAGCTTGGTGGCCCTCCTTTGAACATTTTCAACCAACTGACAGTCCCTAGCATATCTCGGGGACCAGATGGGGTGACAGTACTCCAGATGGGGAAGCACTTCACTCCTGAAGATCGTCACGAGGGACGGACCGTCTAGATATCTGAGCGACGCTGTATAGACCTAATAATTTATTTGCCTGATTACCTTCTTCTCACAATGGCCCGACTGACTCATTGTCGCGCCACCCCTGGTCCTTCTCACACAGAGTCTCAACTATTTTGACTTTCTTCAAGGTCGTGTTTCTCACTTTTGATCTTTTCTTCATTCTTGTATTCTTTATTATTATTATTACAGTATTATTGTTGTTATATTATTATTATTATTATTATTATTATTATTTTTATTATTATTTTATTATTATTATTATTATTATTATTATTATTATAATTATTATTATTATTATTATTATTATTATTATATTTTTGTGTATTTTTTTGATAAATTTTATTTACTATGAATAATTATTATTATTGTTATAATTATTATTACATATTCACCCCCCAGCCCCAATGTGGGTCAGTGACATGTGCCTGGGTGGGCTGATCCCTGTAAAAAAAAAGAAAAAGAAAAAAAGAAAAAAAAGTTTTGCTCCTCAAAAAACTTTCGGTTTTCAGAGGTTTTCGGTTATCGGAATTTCAGATAAAGGGTTGTCAACCTGTAATACTTTTAATTTATCTTCATGGCTAGTGTTTATTGGACATTTGTTTTGAAATTTAAGTTTCAATAATTTTTCTCCAACTTAACCCTTAAGCCCGGGGTTAGTGTGCAGCTGGCAGTACCCTACACCTGGGGGTAAATGGAGAAAAATCAATTTTTCCAAAAATAATTTTTAACCTTTTAAATGATAAAACAATAAAAAATAAGTAAGAAAAACTATATGTGGACCCTATAGAAACTTCCCTAGCCGCACGTAGGGAGAGAGGAGGAGGGAAGATAAGGAGACTGTGTTGGTTTGACAACTGACGCTCGTGGTCCCTCAGCACTTAGCTGCTATTTTTAGCTTGCCTTTGTGTCTGAGGTGGCCAATAATACATATATTTACTGATCTTAATAATTATTTGCTGTAAATAATTCATTCAGAATATACTGTATTTTATTTGCATTATTTTTCCTAAAAAGTGCTTGGCAACACTCATCAGTAGGTCACCAGTCTGCCTGTCTGTCTGTGTTTGGTGGAGCAAGTATTGAATAAAATAATAATAATCCCACAAATAAATAAATTTATAACATAATCATAGCATTATTTTCCGGTAATACTACACTACAATACAACTACACTACTTTTATCAATATTACTTTATTACAACATGATAAAATGAACAAACAATGAAAATGAAACAAACAAATGTAGGTAATTATGTTCAGGAAGCTTCCCTGTGGCTGAGCGTGTGGCGTGACAAGCAAATAGTCACACTGGAACCTGATAACCCGGGCTGGGCATTTAAACAGTGGCGGGAATAGGCAGACATTCTGGAATGTCACCCGGGGCGAGCTGGTCGGATGTTCTGGAACGTAACCCGGAACCTAAGGGTTAACCCTTAAGCCCCGGGTTAGGGTGCCGCTGGCAGTACACCCCACCCGGGGGTAAATCAAGAAAAAGACTTTTTTTTTTTAAACAGTTTTTGTGATATACAGTGAACCCTCGCTTTATGCGGTTTCACTTTACGCGTTTCTACATTTACGCGGTACCCTGCCAGAACCGGAATTCCCACTTTATGCGGTGCATCTACTCATATACGCGGGTGAAGTATAATTTTTTTATTTAGCTCATAAAATTCATACAAATTACCCGGCCAGAATATAATTTACATTGCTGAAATTCTTACAATTTGATGATCATTTTGAATATAAGCATCATAGATTTTGCATTAGACATACAAATTTTAGATCTAATGCAAGTACAGGTTGTACCTCTCTAGTCCGGCAACCTCGGGACCTGACCGGTGCCGGACCATGGAAATTCACCCTTTTCCTGGATAGATAGTGACTTGTGCTTATGCTTGGAAGCACTAGCACCACTTTCTCTGCATCATGGTCTCTTTGAAGACATATTGAAGGGTTAAATGTCGTATAGTAGCTTCTCAAATTTTGCGAGTTTTTAATTCTTAACGTATTTTATTGGAACATGTAGATATATGAGACGAATGTGGCTGTAATATGTAACTCTGTACTATTTACCATTATTGATTCAGGTCTCTGTATTATATGCTTTATAATCATACTCCCTTTTGTCACCAAGTGTTAGTTCAGGCTTTGGGCACATGCGCGCTGTACGTGCATGCGCAGAGAGAGATACCCAGAGAGATTCCAAGACAGGACGCTGTTTACCCCTGTCTTAACTCCTTTTTGTGTTAGTACCAGAAATAGAACTTATGGACTTGACATCAGTGTGTTTCCTTTACCCCTGAGTGTAAGGACCACCTGAGTCTCCCACAGAACACAAAAAAAAATAAATACAGTAAAAAAAAATTTCTATGGCGGAAACTTGAATTTCGGCGGGTTTGAACGGCTCGCCAACGTGCAGACGACGTGCAGAATCGTGTAAACAGCGTCATTTCTCTTATGTACAAAAGATTCATTATTGTTTATTGCTGAATGTCTTTTTTATTGAATTAATGTTTATGTGTGCAAAATGAGCAATACAATTCATTAATAACACGTAGAATATTAAAACACACGAGGAAATGACACAGCATTGTTTTTGTTGATTACAAAGCCAGTGACTGACTGGTTCTACATATAAAACTGAAGAAAATAAGACCTTGGTTGTAGCTGTAGTAAAATTAATATGGTTGTTTTAAGTAATGTTATTTAATGTTAATAAATGGAACAATAGAAGTAGCTAACTTATTTACTGTTCATATATATTTTAATTAATGTTTCTGAATTTGTTTTTATTGAATTAATGTGTGTGTGTGCAAAATTAACAATACAATTTATTAATAATACGTGGAATATTAGAGGAGGCGAGACGGCTGCCGGCATTGTTTATGTTAAAGCTTACATAACCAGTGACTGATTGGTTCTACATATAAAACTGAAGAAAATAAGACCCTGATTTTAGCTGTAGTAAAATTAATGTAAAAAAATTAATATGGTTGTTTGAAGTACCTGTAATGTTATTTAATGTGAATAAATGGAACAATATAAGTAGCTAACCATTAATGGTAAAAAAAAGTGAGACTGCGCGTATGTAAGTGTGCACATGTGAAAACATATCGTCATTACTCTACATAAGAATATGAAAGCAACACTTATTTACTGCTCATATATATTGAAGGGTTAAATGTTGTACTCTGTATAGACAAGCAGAGAGAGAGAGAGAGCAGCCGAACTGCCGGATGTAAACAAACCTTAATTTCCCGCGGCTTTTTTTTAAGGGGATTAGCCCACCTGGGCATAGGTCACTGACCCACATTGGGGCCTGAGGGGCAAAAATTTAATACTCCTGTAATAATAATAATAATTCAGATAAGTAAAAAAAAAAAAAAAAAGCTGCCTATCTACCTATTGGACAAACTAAAATCGTTCCGGACCAGGAGTTTCCGGACCACAGAATGCCGGACTAGAGAGGTACAATCCGTATTTTGTTTACTCAGAGCAAATATGTTTTCTTTTGTGCAAAATATATGACGTGTATATTCAAAATATTCCTGGTCTTGCAAGGAATCCAGCAATGTCAATTATATTATCCTAACTTTAGTCTGAGGTATTATTTATTACTAAAAATGTAAATATACTGTTATAACCCAATCATTTCTCTGGTAGGGAGGGAAGGTGGGGGTGAGGGGTTGGGAGGGAGGGAGGGAGGGAGGGAGGGACCCAGGGAGCAGGTGGGAAGAGGGGGGGAGGTGGGGTATTTTGATTGACAGATGGTATTTGGGTAAGTATATTTTGTTTATTTATTTAAGGCAAATGTTTTAGCTCATAAAATTCATACAAATTACTGGGCCAGAATATAATTTACATTGCTGGAATTCTTACAATTTGATGATCATTTTGAATATAAACATCATGGATTTTGCATTAGACATACAAATATTAGATCTAATGTAAGTATTTTGTTTACTCTGAGTAAATTTGATATCTTTTGTGCAAAATATATGACATTTATATTCAAAATATTCCTGGTCTTACAAGGAATCCAGCAATGTCAATTATATTATCCTAACTTTAGTTTGAGGTATTATTTATTACTATACCT